GGAATCCTGCTCTGAGGAGAGGCTCACACATCCCACTCTGAGGAACTGCTGCAGACGACCCCAGGACCCCCCGTTGACCCCAGGTAGCCCCTGTTGACCCAGGGGTGCCCCCAGGGTGACCCTCAGGTGCCCCCACATGCTCCCAGGTGACCCCAGTTGACCCAGATGGTCCCAAGTGACCCCAGACGACCCCAGGTAGCCCCTGTTGACCCCAGGTAGCTCCTGTTGACCAGTTGGCCCCAGGTGCCCCCAGGGTGACCATCAGGTTGCCCCCACATGCTCCCAGGTGACCCCAGTTGACCCAGATGGTCCCAAGTGACCCCAGACGACCCCAGGTAGCCCCTGTTGACCAGCTGGCCCCAGGTGCCCCCAGGGTGACCCTCAGCTGACCCCACATGCTCCCAGGTGACCCCAGTTGACCCAGATGGTCCCAAGTGACCGCAGATGATCCCAGGACCCCTGTTGACCCCAGGTAGCCCCTGTTGACCCCCAGGTAGCCCCTGTTGACCAGTTGGCCCCAGGTGCCCCCAGGGTGACCCTCAGGTGCCCCTACATGCTCCCAGGTGACCCCAGTTGACCCAGATGGTCCCAAGTGACCCCAGACGACCCCAGGACCCCTGTTGACCCCAGGTAGCCCCTGCTGACCCCAGGTAGCCCTTGTTGACCAGTTGACCCAGGTGCCCCCAGGGTGACCCTCAGGTGCCCCCACATGCTCCCAGGTGACCCCAGTTGACCCAGATGGTCCCAGATGACCCCAGATGACCCCAGGACTCCCTACTGACCCCACGTAGCCCCTGTTGACCAGTTGGCCCCAGGGTGACCCTCAGGTGACCCCACGTGCTCCCAGGTGACCCCAGTTGAGCCAGGTGACCCCAGACGACCCCAGGACCCCCTATTGACCCCAGGTAGTCCCTGTTGACCCCAAGTAGCCCCTGTCGACCCGGGGTGCCCCCAAGGTGACCCTCAGGCACACCCCCTGTGCTCCCAGGTGACCCCGGTTGACCCAGTTGGCCCCAGTTGGCCCTCAGGTGCACCCAGGTGCTCCCAGGTGACCCCAGTTGACCCAGTTGGCCCCAGTTGGCCCTCAGGCACACCCCCTGTGCTCCCAGGTGACCCCGGTTGACCCAGTTGGCCCCAGTTGGCCCTCAGGTGCCCCCCACGTGCTCCCAGGTGACCCCAAAGGACCCCGGAACACCCAAACAACCCTCCCCGGCGTCGCTCGAACTAAACACCTTCGCTGCTTGAAGACCCCAAAACCGTCTCCGAGCAGTCATTTCATGCCGGTTTTGGCATCACCCCCTGTCCGTCCCCACCCCCCAAAAACCCTGGTGTCCCCCCCCCGAAATCCGCCCTTACTGCGGCCACCCCTCGCCGGTGGAGACGGTGAAGAGGGTGAGCAGCGCCCAGAGCACGTTGTCGTAGTGGAACTCGTACTTCTTCCACTCCCTCTTCTGCGCCTTCACCTCGTTGTCCTTCTCGTACACCAGGTACTCGCCCCTGGGGGGTCGTGGGGAGGGGTGGGGGGGTGGGTGTGACCCCCCCCGGAGCCCCCCAGAGCCTCCCCCGGGGCTCAGCAGAGGAGGATGAAGGAGGTGAAGGAGGTTTGAGGGTCCTCGGGGGNCACGGAGGGGGCACCTCGTTCTTCTCCAGGCTGTACTCCTCCATCATCTTGTCCCCTTGCTCCTGGAAGGTGATGATGATCAAGGCCACGAAGATGTTGACGAAGAAGAAGGGGAAGACGACGAAGTAGACGACGTAGAAGATGGACATCTCCATGCGGTACCCGGGGCTCGGGCCCTGGTTCTCGTACGTCGCGTCCACCGAGTGCTTGAGGACCCTGCGGGGAGGGGCAGGGACGGGGGGGGTGGGAAGGGGGTCCCGTGAGACAGAGCGAGGGTTTTTGAGATGCTGGAATCCTGCTCTGAGGAGAGGCTCACACATCCCACTCTGAGGAACTGCTGCATTTGGGTTGAAATGACAGAGGCAGAGGATGTGTGTTGTGGGATTAATTAAGGGAGAGAAGGTACCCCAGGTGAGCCAGGTGGTCCCAGGTGACCCCAGATGACCCCAGGACTCCCTATGGACCCCAGGTAGCCCCTGTTGACCAGTTGGCCCCAGGTGCCCCCAGGGTGACCCTCAGGTGCCCCCACGTGCTCCCAGGTGACCCCAGTTGACCCAGATGGTCCCAGATGACCCCAGACGACCCCAGGACTCCCTGTTGACCCCCAGGTAGCCCCTGTTGACCAGTTGGCCCCAGGTGCCCCCAGGGTGACCCTCAGGTGCCCCCACGTGCTCCCAGGTGACCTCAGTTGACCCAGATGGTTCCAGGTGACCCCAGACGACCCCAGGACCCCCTATTGACCCCAGGTAGCCCCTGTTGACCTGGGGTGCCCCCATGGTGACCCTCAGGTGCCCCCATGTGCTCCCAGGTGACCCCAGTTGACCCAGATGGTTCCAGGTGACCCCAGACGACCCCAGGACCCCCTATTGACCCCAGGTAGCCCCTGTTGACCCGGGGTGCCCCCAGGGTGCCCCTCAGGTGCCCCTACATGCTCCCAGGTGACCCCTGGGACTCCCAGGTGACCCCAGTTGACCCAGATGGTCTCAAGTGACCCCAGACGACCCCAGGACCTCCTATTGACCCCAGGTAGCACCTGTTGACCCAGGGTGACCCTCAGGTGCCCCCCATGTGCTCCCAGGTGACCCCAGTTGACCCAGACGACCCCAGGACTCCCTATTGACCCCAGGTAGCCCCTGTTGACCAGCTGGCCCCAGTTGACCCAGGGTGCCCCCAGGGTGCCCCTCAGGTGCCCCTACATGCTCCCAGGTGACCCCTGGGACTCCCAGCTGGCCCCAGTTGACCCAGGGTGACCCTCGAGTGCCCCCCATGTGCTCCCAGGTGACCCCAGTTGACCCAGTTGGCCCCAGTTGGCCCTCAAGTGCCCCCCACGTGCTCCCAGGTGACCCCACAGGACCCCGGAACACCCAAACAACCCTCCCCGGCGTCGCTCGAACTAAACACCTTTGCTGCTTAAAGACCCCAAAACCGTCTCCGAGCAGTCATTTCATGCCGGTTTTGGCATCACCCCCTGTCCGTCCCCACCCCCCAAAAACCCTGGTGTCCCCCCCCCGAAATCCGCCCTTACTGCGGCCACCCCTCGCCGGTGGAGACGGTGAAGAGGGTGAGCAGCGCCCAGAGCACGTT